TTTAGAATAATGTCATTTTCTTAAAACTGCATCAGAGTCTGAAGTAGAATTACATTAAGTTTATGTATTAGAACCGTTTTGACACCTTTATGATATTACACCTTCCTTCCTGGCAACATATGATTTTTTTATTCATTCATGCCTCAATTTTCTAAAAATTTTACATATTTAAAAATGTTACATTTATTCCCCAATAATGTTATGATGGTGGGGATGATGAACTACCCTGTGGGATTTATCTCTTGTTTACATTTGTTAGTTAAAAGGAAAACTATGTCTTTGTTACATGTATAATACTTGCTTTATCTAATCACTTTATTGATATTTCATATTCTAATCACTGTTAGGTGGGCTTTATGTTTTCTAGGTGTATATAGCATTCTACTCTCTGACAAATGTCAAAATATGTTTTCTTTAAATTTACATTATTTTTCTTTCATTATTATGCCAGTGACAGTGTTCATCTTTCCTTGTTGCTCATTTTTATGGTAATCCTTTTAGTATTTCACCCTCTAATGCGTGTTTCTTACTAGTTTCAGTTAAATGCTCTTATTTATGTCCAGAAAGTCTCTTTTCTTTCTTTCTCTCACCCTTCTCTCTCTCTCTCTCTCACTTTCTCTCTTTCTAAATCCAGAGTGGCCTCTACATGTTACCACAGACTCTTCTGGCACCTGTTGCTATCACATAGCCTCTCATCATTTGTTTGATAGTGTACTGAAAGTATGCTGATAGATTTCCTAATGTTATACCAGCCATGTACTTATAAATCTTAATCTAATACCTATCTTTGATTTACTGATAGTTTATTTAAAAATTTTAAAGTCATATTTTTACTGCTGTGCAATTCACAAGGAGAGAGCTTCTGCATTACAATTTAATGAGGAAATGTTTTCTGAGGTAGATGTTGAAGGAAGTGTAGAATGTTTACAGTGGAGTTTATATTCCAAGCAGAGAGAGCAATATGAGTGAACACAGGAGATTGAAAAGTGTGGGAAGGACTATGGTATATATGTAGGTTGGGAAGGCA